CCCGCCCTCTCTTTTGCCCCTAGGAGAAGCCCATTATCTGTCAGCTTCCAGCAGGGAACCAGGTTTAACTGGCTCCTTCTGGGAACTAGTTAAAGCTGAATTCTGAGAGTTGAAGTCTGCCAAGCTTAAAGTGGCCAAGATTGGAGACCTCTGCTTTATAGTGAAAATGTTTAGGGTTCATTTTCACACAGATCTTGCCCTGCTCATTTCGGGCTTTAAAAGAATCAGGAATGATACCCATTGGGTATTGGAGTGTTACTGCCCGTTAAGTAGGCCACAAAGAGAGAAATAGGCCGAGTTCATATATTGGTTATGTAGCTTGTACCTGATTATTGAATAAACCTGAGTTGTACAGGTTCATATGACACACGAAGTGGTCAACAATGCTTGTGTTACTTCATGCTTGTAAAACCAGCCACAAAAATTATTTTGCTATTGGACTGCTTCCTACTTCAAACATTTTTTTTCTCGATTCCTACATTAATTAACATTAAGCATGCCAATTTGTCATGCCAAATGCATATATTTATCTTTGGATAGCTGCTCTTAAGAAAGAAGAGTACTTTTATCCGATACCTATTTATTCCTACAGAGATGCATCATCAATAAAAACGTTAGGCGTGGCTTCTTTTTGAAACCACTTTCATTGTATACACGATTCTTTTTTCATGTTTCATTTTCTTTCTTTTTGTCCCCTGAATTCGGTGTTAGCATTTCAGTTAGCATCTCCAGGAGAATGGAGAAAGAGAGAGAGAAGAGGGCAGGGGAGGAAGGGGGAGAGGGAGAGGGAGAGAGAGCATATGAGAATAAAAAGTTATGTAAAAAAGCTAAATATGACCCAGTTGTCTTCACAGTGGCAAAAGCAATCTTGTACAGGTAATGCCTGTTTTACAACAGTTCATTTAATGACTGTTTGAAGTTACAATAGTGCTTTGAAAAAGTGTCTTACAACCATTTTTCACACTTATGACCATTGCAACAGCCCCGTGGATAGGTGATCAGAATTTGGATGTTTGGAAATTGATTCATATCAGAGGTGGTATTCAGCAGTTTCTGACCAGTTCTGGAGAACTGGTAGCGGAAATTTTGAATAGTTTGGAGAACCGGCAAATACCACCTCTGACTGGTCCTGCCCCCATCTATTCTCTGCCTCTTGAGTCCCAGCTGATCTGCTGGGTCTCCTTTTGTTGCCCTGCACAGGAGAATGGAGCTGGAAAGCAGGTTAGTGGGGAGGGAATGGAGATTTTACAGTATCTTCATGCCACTCCCACCAAGCCATGCCCTCCAAGCCACGCCCACCAAGCCACGCCCATAGAACCAGTAGTAAAAAAAATTGAACCCCACCACTGATTCTTATTTATGACACTTGCAATGTTCAGGGATCTTGTGATCCCCTTTTGCGACCTTCTGACAAGCAAATTCATTGGAAAAGCCGGACTCACTTAACAACTGAAGTGATTCACTTAGCAACTGTGGCAAGAAAAGCCGTAAAATGGGTCATAACTCACTTAACAAATGTCTCACTTAGTAACAGAAATTTTGGGCTCAATTGTGATAGTAAGTTGAGGACTACCTGTATAAAGACATCTCCAGTCTCCTATTGTTAATTTTGTTAATCTCCTATTGTAAATACTAATGATTCATAATATAGATGTTTTCATGCAGTGTTAAGTATGTTTTGTCTTGACTCTCATTTTCTCCATGTAAACCCAAAATGATTTTCCTAATCAGTCCCTGCTAGCTTTCAGCCTATCTATATATTAATGAAGTTAAGAATCGGGCAAAGTCTGTTACTGTACCATGCAGGGTGGACAACTCTGGCAACTTTACAACTTATGGACTTCAACTCCCAGAATTCCTGAGCCAGCAAGTCCACAAATTGTTAAGTTGTCATAGGTGCCCACTCCTGCTCTCTACATTGTTCTGCCTTTAATTGGTTTTAATATCTCCAAATAGCAAGGACAGCATTAAGGAATTGCAGAAAGAAATATTGAGAAGCTTGATCCCCAAAGTACTGATCATTAGTACTTATACATTACCATATTTTTCAGAGTATAAGACGCATCGGACCATAAGATGCATCTAGATTTAGAGGAGGAAAACAAGGAAAAAAATAGTTTTTTGCCTCCACGTGTCCCATTTTTGCCCTCCCTGGCATCCACAAGCACTCTGCAGGCCAAAAACAAGCCTATTTTTGGCCTACGAGTGCTTCTGGACACCGGGCAGAAGCACTCTGCAAAACGGGATGCATGGAGGCTTTGGGGAGGCCAAAAACAGGCTGGTATTCACTCTATAAGACGCCCAGACATTTCCACCCACTTTTTTGGGAGGGAGGGGAAAGTGCATATTATAGCCTGAAAAATACGGTATTAATAAAACTGCTTAAAGTCTGAACAAGTTAATAATTGCATAATTAAATGGATACGGAACATGAATATAGTTACAGACATACAATGGTGGGGATCTCCATGGAAAAAGAACATTAAATTGACTTCAAACTTTATATTTGGAATTGGTTTTCTATCGTTACGTTTTACCATTGGCAAATCACTCTAGTCTTGATTGCTGAAATGAATAATTAATTTTCCTTGAAAAGTGTTGGACATGCATCATAGTTGGAACCGTTTTTCCGATGCAGTGTCAATATTGCGAAGTGTGCCATTATTGGAAATTGATTCACCATGGAACAGAACAACTATTAAAGATTGCAATCCAATTCCAAGCAGAGATATTTTTATTAAATTTTACCAAAATCGCTATATACCAAAACATACTGAAGCAGAATTATATATGTTATCAGCTGCAAAAAAATTATATGCCTTTTATTAGAAAAGTCAGTTAATTCCTTCTTTGGACGAATGGGAAATGAAACTGGAAGTATGCTTCATTGTCTAAAATCGCTTTGTTTTAAAAAAAACCCACGTAAATCCAGAGGTGGTATTCAGCAGGTTCTGACCAGTTCTGGAGAACCGATAGCGGAAATTTTGAGTAGTTTAGAGAACTGGCAAATACCACCTCTGACTGGAGATTTTACAGTATCCTTCCCCTGCCATGCCCACCAAGCCTTGCCCACAGAACCGGTAGTAAAAAAATTAAAATCCCACCACTGCGTAAATCTCATGTGGAATTCATTTGGAATTGGAGACTGTTCTTTCATTATAATTGCATACATGGAATTTTGTTGCACTCAAAATGTTGATTCTTTTAAAATATATGATAAAGAATTGAAAAGAAAAAAAGAGTAGGCAAACATGTATGTAGCCTTATACTTGCTTGCACTGAATAACATTTGCCATTTTGGAAACCCCCTCAACACACACACACACACACAAACACACACACACACACATTTAGAGCCTTTTGCTATCTCTTAGTTTCTGATCTTATGTGTATATTTTGGAAAGTAGTCTATTTAGTACATTTTGCAGTAGCTGTAGTTGTCCAAATTCTGTTCAAAGACACGTGAAGGATGTCATGCTAGTCATTTATTTTTCAATATTATTAATAAATTGATCTCTGTGTGCGTTGATAGGGTGGTTTATGCTTTATTTTAATTGTTTTAGGAACTAAAGTATGGAGATGGTATTCAAATTAGCAGGAACCGAGAACTGGAGGACTGCTTTGGCCAGGCAAATGAACACATGGATATTCTTGATGGGTTGATCCGAGAAATGAGACAAATGGGACAGCCATGTGATCTCTACCAGAAAAGGTATATTTGTACCTAAGTAGTATGACTAGGTAGTAACCTCTATCACATTGAATAAACAAGTAGATGCATATGGGTGGTTACATGTGGATAATGGAAGTTATTCTAGGTGATGCATATCTAGAATCGTAATGATGCAACCTTTATTTTGCTAGATGAACAGTAAATAATTCAGATCTCATCTAATGTCAGCCTTTCTGGATGGAAAACACAACTAGATAAACTAAATCTACTTGATTGTAAGGCTACATTAATAGAATGTTGCAAGTCTGAAGGGTACAAACTTCCCTCCACTACTTTTAACTGTTTGATCAATTAGGACATAGGTCCTTCCTAAGTTTCATTCTCTGACCATTAAGTGCCTATGGGCTCCTCCCTCTTTTGTCTGGTCATTCCCTAGGCAAAATCTCTTTCCCTAGCCCATCCACACAGTCTATTACATTTGTGCAAATATCAACACTTGAGTAAGACATGATGTAATGAATGTTATAAATTTATGACGCTGTGCCTCAAATACACTACTAAGATTATACCTGTTTATTTTCACTTTGATAAAAGCTATCACCGATGGGTAACCCAAATATAAAACCACTAGAAATATCAATAAATTAAAAAAGATGTAAACTGATCGTTAACAGAGACAAACAAACTGTATTTATTACAACAGCTCTTAAGCATTCATGTCATTAGCAATGGATTTTTTATCTAGGAATCAACATGTTAATGAAGTTTGTAATTAGTGTATTTTTTTCAGTAGGCACCATGGAGAAGGCTCTGTTCCACCCAATATACTTTATGAATTCTTCAATAATGAATTATTATCCCCTAATTATTTCAAGCTTCTTGCTAAGATAGCTGAGAACCTGCAAGTTCACCCCTCCCTTCCAATCTTTGATATTCTTCTTCCTCACTGTTGCACTTTTCCTTTAGACTGCTTCAACTTCAAGAGCAGATGCGTGCCCTCTACAAGGCTATTAGTGTACCTCGTGTCCGAAGGGCTAGTTCCAAAGGCGGTGGCTACAGCTCTCAGAGTGCTTCAGGTTGGGATGAATATACTAGGCGTGTCACCACTGAATGTCTGAACTGGATGAGACAGCAGAAGGTAAACTTAAATGATTAAGATGGACTGGCAAAGCTGGAGGAGGAGTTAAAAGAGGCATCAGTTTAGAATCCTTATGTACGTACAAGTGAGCTAAGTCAGCCCCCTCCCCCATTAAATATTGTTGACCCTTATCTAACTCTAACTAGGTACTGTTAGTTGAAAAGATTCCTGTGCATTGGTTTTTAGCAATAAATCAGTTAACTTGAACCTTCATGGTGCCTGATACTGAATATTAAAAAAGGTTGTCGGAATGCCTTAATCAAAAAGCTTGCTTTTTACAGTGTGTGTACGAAAAGCAAATTAAAAATCATTATTCATTTCTTCACTGCTGCCTACGATTGGAAGTAACTGAACATGGAATCTCTAGTCAAGTTCAAGTGGGGAGGATGAGGGAAGGATGTAGATAAGCTAGATGGTGTAAAGAAAGAAAGTTAGTATGTATGTCAAGAAACTGCAGAGAAGCTGCAGAGAAGGAGGGGCTTCTGATAAGAGAGGAATTATAGAAACTCTTCTGGAATGATCACAACTTAGTGGAAGAAGAAAAAGAATTCAAAAATGCAGTGTCCCAAAGAAAAGGTGACTTAGATATCAGTTTATAGCAATTTTCTAAAAGATGCTCATTATTTAGAAACTACCTCTTTGGTCCAAGGTAGAGATCTGCTAAAATAAAACATCATATTGAAGTAAAGTGATGTTGTTGATAATCCGAATAGTCTTTACAGGAGAGGTAGCAGTAAAACATTGATTTTCTTGTTGCTGCTTTGTTAAGATATAGATCTGGGGTGTCAAATTGGAGGCCCAGCTCCGCAAATGGGAAAATGTCACGAAGTGTCACGTGATGGCAGTGTGACGCGGCAAGTTTGACATCTATGATATATTGTGTTTTTTGGATTATAAGATGCTCCGAAGTTTTAAGATGCACCTAGCTTTTGGGGAGAAAAACAAGGGGAAAAAATCTGCCTCTGCCTCCCAGCAACTTGCTTCCTTGCAGCAAACAGCAAACAGCCTGGTCTGCTTCAGCACAGCCCGATTACCACAAGCAGCTGGTTGTTGGTTGGATCGGCCTCCCAACGACCAGCTGTTTCAGGCTGCAGAGATCGCCCTTGCTTATTGCTGCCCCCACACGCCCCATTTTTGGCCTCTGCATCCTGTTTTTGGTCTCCACCACCCCATTTTTGGCCCATTCCAGGCAGCAGGGATCAAAATGGGCCCAAAATGGGGTACGCAGAGGCCGAAAACGAGATGCGGGAGTTGAAAATGGGGCATGTGGAGGCAGCAATAGGATGCTTGCATTAATTCATCTTCATAAAACTACCATCTGTTCTTCTTAAATTCTTATGAAGTTACTCTTGATGAAGGAACAAGAAAAACAGTTTCAACTCTGTGTGTGAGAGAGAATTTTCATTTGAAATTTAATGTGGGAAGAAAACATTTAAAGTTTATACACAAGAAAAATCCTCCTCCTCCCTTAGAATTTTTGAGAAAAAAATGGGGAACTGTTTTATTGGAGCATTTCAAATTTTGTAGCAAAAGGAGACTTTGTTTTTCCTAGTGTTTGGAAGCCTGTTATAAATAGGCATTGTGAGCCAGTTGCATGTAGCTTCCTTATCTTATCTTGTACTGACCTTCTCTGGCTTAATATTCTGCCTGCAAAGCTCAGCTCCAGTAGGCCAAAATAATACTTTCCCTTGTAATGCAATACATGGAAAATTCTGTACCCCAGCAGGCTTGCTAGGGTTTAGTTTTATTTTCTAGTTGGTTTGTGGATAGAAGACCTTTGAGCTAAGCACCTGGATCAGGTTTCTCTGGGAGGAATGGAAGCTGGAACAGAGCCACTCTTTTGTACCTCTGCAGTGATGCTTGTTTTAACTTGTTGCTACTTTGACTAAAACAAAGCTGAAAAGAAGTAAGGTGAATGTCCCGTGTAATTTTCAGGAAGCTAATAACCTAAATTGGCATTGCTCGATGGAGTTGTGCCAGCATGAGTTAAGCACAGGTGTGGCTCAAGAGGGTGAATATTGTAGCATTACTCTACTGGCATGATGTCTCATAAAGACTTTAAAAAAAGTTATTGTATCACAGTAGAACAGCAGCTCCTAAATTTAATTTATGGAAAAAGAATATACAACTGTTTTTGGATTTATTTCACATATCTTTGATGGTGAATGTTATCAAAACTTCCTGTGGTCATAACAATATATTAAAGGAGTCTGATAGGGCCAATGATACCAACATTTTGTGTTTTATTTCTTTTGTATAATAAATAAAATGATCAAATAAGTGATAAGCCAATATAAAAAAGTTACTATTCTCTATTTCTGTGATGTAAAGTAAGAGATAGAGTTCATGAAGTTCTCTAGCTCTTCACTGAACAATCAGTCAAAATATATGAGATTGACTCAGACCCAGGACTGACTCAAATCAGTAACAGGACTACCTTTGATTGATGGCCATCAGTCTAGAAAAACTGACAAAACCATTTCTGAAACTTTGGAGCAACACAGATCTACAGTAAGGAACATGGTCTTGAAATGGAAAAAAAATGGGCCGTGGGAAATCTTTTCAAGGTTGACTGTTTCTTCAGACCAAGAGAATAAAATCACACAGGAAATCACAAAGACAAAAAGAACATCCCATGATTGCAATCCTCTCTTACTTTTGCCAAAGCCAGTGTTAATGAGTGTACGATCAAAAAGGTGCTCATTAAAATGATAATTATGGGAGAGCAGAAGGACATGGATGCCCATCTCAATGAAGTTGATCCTCATGAAGTTTTGATAATATTCAGCAGCAAAGTTTTGCAGAAATTCATAAAATCGAAAAGGGTATTTGTTTTCTCTGAACTGTATTTCTTGGTCTCGCAAACAAGGTCAATAAAACTGAAGATTGGGAATTACTGGAATAATTGTTCTCATGCTAGTTCAGATCTTTGATTTGTTGGTTGGCTTTGGAAATGGAAGCATCTGTTCAGGAGAGAAGCAACTTCGAGATAAGGAGAAATTTCCTGATCGTTAGAACAATTAATCAGTGGAACCACTTTCCTCCAGGAGTTGTGAATACTCCAATATTGGAAGTTTGAGGAAGAGACTGGACAACCATTTGTTTGAAATGGTATAGGGGTTCTCTGTCTGAGCGGGTGGTTGGACTAGAAGACCTCCAAAGTCCCTTCCAACTCTGTTATTCTGTTCTGTTCCTCTAGCATGGTGTTTCTCAGCTGCTGCAAATTTAAGATGTTCAGTTCCCCCAGCCAGTGTGTTGAGGTCCACACATCTTAAAGTAGCTGAGGTTGAGAAAAGCTGTTGAACCCGAAAGGTGGAAGGTCAGAGGTCTCAAATTATTTTTCCCAGAAGTCCTCTGACTCCTCATATCCTGTTCCCTGATTAGGAGTAATAACAAAGTAGTTCCTGCTGCCACTTCCTGTTATCTGGTATCATTCAGGTGAATGAAAGAGATAAGGCTCTTGCAGTGTAAACAAAGAAATATAGTTCCTGTAATGTAACTTCCTGGCTACGTAATTTAGAGACACGTGGCTAGAGGGTTTGATCCTATTTTCTTGCCTGCAAGAGGAAAACAGTAAAATTTTATTATATAAAACAGGACAGATAAAATGTAACTCTGTAAATATCCAAAATGAAAGAGATCAGTTACAGAGCTACTTATAGGAGAACAGCAGATTGATTAAACAAAAGATTATGAATGAAAAATCTTTTATATCTTCTATCAGAGTGCAATATGCTGCTGGTCTGCTACAAATAGGATTTCTCTGGCCTAAAGTCATAGTAAAGTGATGGGGAAATTCTGAATATTTTTATTATTAGAAGAAGGTTTTTCAAGAGAAAAATGCTAGATTTTTGGAACATGCCTGAAGTATGATTTGAGGCTGATATGAAATAATTTCCTATTTTATACAGAATGATAAGTACAGTGGTTCTTGATCAGGCAGTCATCCACAGCAGCAAGTTTCTAGAAGCAAAATAATTCTCTACTTCCCTCCCTGATTTTCCACTTTTTTGTGAAAATTCCAGACTTTTAATTTGAGATTTCAGATCTTTGCCTTGTGCTTTTCCCAACTTCTTCTTTTCCCTCCTTTGGTCCTGCATCTGTTTTTAAAAACAGATATATATTGCAAGAGAACTATACTAATTTTTTTTTTTAAAATGCCATACGTAAGTTGGCATAAAAAGGAATGAGATTGTAATACGCTTACACATTACCATCAATGAAGTATTGGCTGAGCTGCTTAATATAACGTGCAGTGCATATATATCATGTTGTAGCAAGGAAACAAGATATGATCTAGATCTGTTTTTGGTGCCAGAGCAAAAGAAGCTTCACAGTTTAAAGTCCTGTGATTTTGCATCTAAAGTGATGCAAAATCACAGGACTTTAAACTGTGAAGCTTTTCTTCTTTCTGTAATGTCATTTAAAGAACAAATTTTAACTAACAACTCTGTTAGCACAAGTACCGTCAGCAGGAAGTTAGGGAATCAAATTCAATTTGGGAAGTAATGATGGGATTTACCATGTATAATTTTTGGTTGGTGCATTTGTAAATGAAGTACTAATTAATGCACTTTCCTTTTCAGACTGAAATGGAGTTAATAAAATGGGGATTTGATGCTTCAGCCATTGAACAACAAATCGCTGAGCATAGAAGATTCCATAATTCTATTGGAGACTATCGTTGGCACTTGGATAAGGTGAAAACTGATCTGGTAGGTGACTATGTGTACTTATTTTTTTAGACTGTTGACAGTGTTATTATCAAGTGCCTATTACTGTTATTTAACGATAAATATTACTAAAATCTAAGTCTTCACCTTTGAGAAAAAAACTGTAGCTTTTTTACCATCACCACATTTTCCTCAAACTCAAATAATGATGCATACTTTTTCTGCCTATTTCTTTTTTTTATTTTAAACAGGGAGTTTGAGATTAATGGAAAAGGGATGCAGAACCAACATTGGACTTTCTGGTATCCTATCAAATTGTACCCACCATTCTCTGCTCTATTCTTCCCAGTTCCATTCTCTCCTGGATTCTGATTGGCTTGATGGATAAATTGAATGACCAATGGTATTCTAAAAAAGATTTTTGTTGGATTGGATGGTCCAATGTTGGTTGGATTAAAAAAAACAACCATGGTATAATCAAGTCTGGATAACCACAGATTTCCAATCCTGTGTCTTGCATTTAACTCAGCACTCATCTGTATTTTCTTGCAGTTATTTTCACTCTTTTCTATTATGGTAAAAAGACTGCCCCAAATACTACTGCCTTAGATTCTCCTATCTTTAATGGAAACCTCCTATCTCTATCTGTTTTCCCTGTTTGCTAGACACATGTTTTCTTTATTCTTTACTTAACAGCGTGAGAAGGCTGCTGTTCATCAGCTGGAAGAGGAATATGAATATCTCTTGGTAAGCTATTTTTTATTTTATTCTTAAAACACATGTTTTGCCTAGTTATTAAGGTAAATTTCAGCATCAGGTTTACATTTAAGTAGGAAGGAAAATTCATAATTTTTCTCACACAATGTGTGATTCCAGAATCATGGCATCATTTGACTTCCATAGAAATATTGGAGTTGAATAGGAATACAATGTTAGATATATTTTTTCCTCCTCTGCAGTCCAGCAATGGGAGCAATTCAACTTCGTGTGCTGAAAATATCCAATTCATCCTCTTTTGGAAAGAAGAGCTATTATATATAAACAAAAAGAATAATTGCTCTTTTCTATCATCAACAATGTAAAATAGTTTTAGAAATATGATTCATTATTTGCCATCTTTTACCTTTAGAAGTGACAGTTTAGCAAACATAACGCTAGAGAAAGATGTATTCCAGTGTCCATTGTTTATATTTTTTTAGCCAAAGCTAATGTTCCCTGGAATGGTGAGATAAAATGGAGGAGGACAACATCTATATGTCCCTATGTTTTTTAGTGATAGACATAAAGTAAATGCAATAAATAAATTAATTTCATGGTAAATTGTAACCTTCTTAAATAGAAATGTGCATTTTGTTAGAGCTTCCAGCCAGAAAAGTTTGTTAAAAGCTTTTTCTTAAAAAAAAAAAAACCCTTCAAAAATGATATATTGTAACAAGTCTAGTCAGTCAGTCATTTTATTTCAATCACTGACCAGCAAAACAAATATATTTGTGTGAGGGGTGAGGAGAATCACTTTTACTATAAATACAGCAACTCTGTGTCTAAAGTCTTGTAGCAATACTTGGCAACTTGTCCTGTCTTGGAGAGATAGAGAAGAATTTTGATTTTCCTTGTCAAGAATCCACAGTTTGGACATGGCCGGCTTTATATTAAGCATCTCGGCCATTTGTTTTTCAGTGTGTATAGCTTCATTTCCCATTCTCCTCCCCCCACATATTTTCTGTACTATGTCTTGTACTCTTATGCGTTGATCCTTCAACGAAAAGGCTTATTGTTTCCTTGATGCTGTTTTGTAGAGGTTCTCCTTTGAAAGAATGGATCAACTGCGCCAGCTGCAGAATATTATCCAAGCCACTAGCAGGGAAATCATGTGGATCAACGACTGTGAGGAAGAAGAACTACTCTATGATTGGAGTGACAGGAACACTGACATTGCAAGGAAGCAAGAAGCCTTCTCTGTGAGTCAATGATACTCACAAATAAACCTCATTCAAGTACTCACGGTTCAGCCATTTTTCTTTTTGAAAGATTGCAAACAGTTTTGTCTTTTAAAATGCAGAACATAAAAGATGGTATGAGAAGAAGTTTTAAATTCTGCAATACTTCAAAAAGTTTCACTGATTTCAAGATGGAAAACTGCTTTAGCCATTCTGAGAGTTTATAAGGAAAGGAGGGCGATGGTTGATACCTCCTCTTTACACGCTTCTTTCAGAAAATATGTCCTTTCTAGCACTGGGGAATGTCAAGGCTTTTATTCGGAGATATGCTTCTCTTTTAGGGAAGACGAAAAATTTTAGGAGAGGAAATTGTCAATCTGGGAATCAGCATAAATCCATTCAACTTTATTGTCCATGCTACCGTATTTCCCCAAAAGTAAGACCCTATTTGCCACCAAAAAAAGGTACCAGGTCTTATTTTAGGGGGATGTAATCCACTGACTAACCTCACTTACCCAGTCTCCTTTTCGCTGTCAGAGGCCCTCAGGAAATTCTTCTGCGGCCAGCAAGGCTTTCCTGAAGGCCTCTGCGGCCAATAACTGAGCTCTGGATCGATCTGGAGCTTTATTATCAGCTACAGAGGCCTTCAGGAAAGCCTTGCCAGCCTTGCCGGCTGCAGAAGAACTGGGCTGGCAAGGCAGGTGTCAGGGTGTGCAAGGCCTGGCTACAACTGTCCAAAGGTAAGTAGTAGGGCAGCTCCATCCCCCTATCCCCACCCTAGCTTAATTTTAACCCATGCACTCTGGAGTGGGTGGGACCTTATTTGGGCTTATTTTGGAGGTAGGGCTTATATTGGGTGCACATGTAAAAATCGAGGTAGGACTTACTTTCAGGGTAGGTTGTATTTTCAGGTAAACAGTAATGGTGATTGTATTGAGGTTTTAAAGTAGATTTTAATTTTTTAATTAAAATTTCATTTGGAATTTCCCCTCTAATGTTAGGAGAAATTGAGCACAGGCATTTAGTCTCAAAAAAGTAGGGACACCACAGTGAAATTAAAAAAAAAAGCCAACTGGAGGAAATGAGAGCAATGAAAGGAGAGAGGAATGACTCCTAAACATAGGCTTGGAGACAGATAGGATGTAACTTTCACGAACATGACTGATATTTCAAGTGCTTATTTAAACAAAAGTGCTCCTTTGGTTAAAAAGAAGAAATTGTTTGCTGGGTTTGCAAACAGACAAGTGTTATAACACAATTGTATAAAAACTAAACTTAATAAATACTAAATGTACTGATCCTTTTTTCCTATTGAAACTGTGTTTAACTCCAAGACCCTTGCCTTACTAACAGAAACGCATGAGCCAGCTCGAAGTTAAAGAAAAGGAACTCAACAAACTTAAGCAAGAATGTGATCAGTTGGTGCTCAGCCAGCACCCTGCTTCTGACAAAATTGAGGTATGATCCCAACTTCCTACATTTTTTATCCTGACATCATTTTTGGGACAATATGACATCTCATTGAAGGGAAAGCTGGTAATGAAATCCTATACCCGGGAATGTACTATCAGACAGCTTCTTCTGATCAGCAAGTAATCTTGAAAATTGGCAAAGCTAAATGCAAATACGAGGGGTCCAGTGCTAATTTTCAAAAGCACACCTTAGAATCAGCTACTGTAACCAAAAATGTTAACCTATTAAATCGTAGTCAACAGGGATCCTTAATGCTGGGCCATTTTGGATTTGTGGAGGATGCTTACATTCTCTGCATAGTGACCCAACTAGAAAGCGTAAGACCAACAATAGGATAAGAATGCTAAAAAGAGGAAGACATTTGCCTTTGCTTGCGCACCCTGGTCTTCCTTGCTTTTCTTCAGTGGGGCTTCTATAAGCAAACTAGGTGAGAAGGACAAGTCAGATTTTATTAGTAGTCAAAGCAGAAATTTGATCATCGATGTTGACTTGATTTTTGACTCTTGGTCTTGGTCTACCCAGCTAGGGTAAATAGTTTTGAAGATTAAAAAATGAGTTGCTAGCTGAGAAGTAGATCAACTTACATTATCAGAATTCAGAACCAATGGCAATTTGTTTAAATGTGCAGGCTTATATGGATACATTACAAACTCAATGGAGTTGGATTCTTCAGATCACCAAGTGCATTGATGTTCACCTCAAGGAAAATGCAGCTTACTTTCAGGTATGTTTTGGTGTACGGAAGCAATAAATAAATTATAAAAGTACTTTTTATAATTTAATTCTATATTTGCTCTGTATAGTTGGAATAATGAAGATAAATTAGATTCCAACCAATAATTGTGCGTACTAACTGTTTAACGTAAGCATTTTAAATTTTGCTTGCAGTAATGATGATTTGTGGAAAAAAGCATCTAAAGATAGATTCAATTCTTAAAGATTATACAGTGGTACCTTGGAACTCGGCTGCTTTGAAACTCATCAAATTTGGAATTCAAACATTTTGATGTGTTTATCCCGGTACTTATTGTTTCTTGGGTACTCAACACACAAGCTAGAATTTGTTGGTGTTGGCTGCCTTGTGACTCACTACATTATTCCTTATGGAAAAAATTGTTTACTACTTATCATTATTGGTACTCATTGTGTCTCCTGGAACCAATTAACAATGAGTCCTGAGATACCACTGTATATAGATTGTCTTCAGTAACTTTATTATGTATTATGTTCTTATACATCTATATTCTTGGTTAAAAAAAAAACCAGTGCATTGACATTCTTAACTGTTGCATTTTATATACGGCATCCCAAATGTCTTGGTGCAGTTTTAATCTGCACTGCAGTAAGACTTTCGGGACACCTGGTATATGAAAACCCAATATATGAAAGTGACTGTTAAATGTGTGTGTTTGTTCTATGTGTAGTTTTTTGAGGAAGCCCAGTCTACTGAGAACTACTTGAAGAACTTGCAGGATGCCATCAGGAAAAAGTTCATCTGTGATAAAAATATGTCTTTGCAAGTTCTGTTGGAGCAAATTAAAGAATTAGAGGTATGGATGCAACTGTCTGTTATTGTACCACAAATTCTCCTAGGCTCAGCGGTCTATATAGGTAGTTCTCAACTTATGATGTCAATTCAATCCAGAATTTCTGTCACTAAATGATGCAATCAAAGTACAACGGCACCATTTAGCAATAGCAGTCATAGTTGCCATCATTAACTGGATCCTATATTGTTTGGCAAGGCAACTTCCTGCTGTTTTCCCACAGTATCAGTAGGGAAACCGGCAGGAAGTTGCAAGTTCCAGATTGGCAGGCTGTTGCCAGATAGGGAAGGGAGCAAGGGGAGGGTCGGGGAGGATGTGAGGAGGTATGTGTGAGAGATGCAGATGAGGGAGGGGGGTGCCAGGATATGAGGAAGGCTTGGAAAAGCGGTGCAGAGATGTGTAAATGGCCTGCTAGGACAGGATGCATGGATAAAGCACACTTACTCCAATCACTTGTCACTTTCCCTGTTGCATTCCCTATTGACTTTTGGGGAAAATTGGTAGGAAAAAATTATAAAAGGCAATCACGTGATTGTGAGTCACTGCACCCAGTCATAAATGTGAACCAGTTGCCAAGCCCCTAGATTGTGATAGTGTGACCATGAGGGTGCATGGATGGCCAGAACTCTGACAATCAGTTGTAACCACCATTTGTTCAGTGCCACCACTGTTTAGCAAATACCTTGTACAGCGACTATTTGCATTTACAATGGTGATGAAAATGTAGCTGCACAGGTCTGTAAAGCAAAGGAAAACTGAAGTAAGATAACAAGCAGAGCTGCAGTTTCCCTTAGCAACTTAGTTTCACTTCACTTAGCAACTGAGTTGCCCATCCCAGTTATGGTCACTAAATGAGGACTACCTGTGGTGTTCTATATTCCATCACTCTATCCTTATAGAAGGTTCTGTGTTTGAAAGGAAATCGGAGTAGTGCCGTCTTAATTATACATTGATAATACACTCATGGAACGATAAAAATAATATGTTTGATTGAAAGCTTGTTATGTTAGACTTGTCAATGAAATACTGATATCTGCTTATAATTTAAGTTAAAATCCAATTTGACACAATAACAATGACAGTTTGGTATTTAAATAAAGTTTTAATCACAACTTTTATTTCCTTCTAGGCTGAGCGAGAGAAAATCCTGGAATATAAGAGGCAGGTGCAAAATTTGGTGAATAAATCAAAGAAGATAGTACAGTTGAAACCCCGTAACCCTGACTATAAGTCCAGTAAGACCATCATTCTCAGGGCTTTGTGTGACTACAAACAAGATCTGGTAAGAATCCCATTATTACGACTCTTTGTGTTAATGCCACATAGAACGTTCTGTGGCCTAAATTTATTTTTATGGCAGAAGCCGTCCATCATCCTGAGGTGGGTAAAATGAGGATCCAGATTGATGGGGGCAGTATGCTGACTCTGTAAACTGTTTAGAGAGGGCTGTAAAGCACTATGAAGCAGTATATAACTCTTAAGTGCTATTGCTATTAATTAGGTGACTTAAATGCAACTGCTATCCTTATAATCACTATGCAGAATGTTTCAAAAAAGATAAAACTGAATCTTTGTTCACAAATATAACATCATAGGATCCCTCTTAGCAAATTCTGGGATTGATGGAGAGTCATTTGTATAAATGAACTGTTCTAGAGTAAGCAAGGATGCATTGAGTAGTACATTATTGTGTTCCACATTAACTATGATTCTGGAAAATTATTAAGAGTGTAAAAAACATATTCCAGTAATGTAATTTTATCAGATCTAGTTAAAAACATTTTTGCGAGTCTTCTATAATCCTGTTCCAGGTGCAAACGTTCAAGCCTCAACTCCAGACCTGAAAAAGCTGTGATCTTTGAGTTGTTTTAGAGCTACTAGTATGTTCACTGTTAGCCATACTGATGGGATTTGGAGGGACTGAATGTTACTCCATTTAAATCCCTTTTTAAAGAAAACAATGGAAGTTGGAAAAAATAGGGAGTTGTAGCTTGTTTCCAGCTACAGTCATTTTTCTTTTTTTCCTCCACAGAAAACAATGCGTAAAGGAGACGAGTGCATTTTAAAAGACAACAGTGAACGTAGCAAATGGCATGTGACTGGACCAGGGGGGCTAGATATGCTAGTGCCATCTGTTAGTCTTATTATTCCACCTCCAAACCCCTTAGCTGTGGATCTGGCAACCAAGTAAGTTACCAATTATTGCTTGAACTATAAGGCAAGACTTCCTAACGAAAATCCCACCCTCTCCTCATCAAAACCCAATGAGCAAAATTAGTGATTTTGTCTTGGGTGGGAGAACTTGCTTTGGAGTCATGATGCACACATTCTTTGAAGATGCACTTTCCCTATGCAGTCATAAGAACCTGCTAGTTTTATAAATAAAAGGCGCTATTCGGATTTTTTTAAAATGTATGTTTTTCAGTTACAATGGGTACACGTTAAAGATAGATTACTAAGAAATATACAATAGTTCGGTATTTTCATCTGTTTCTCAGACTGGGGAGATCTGGAGCACTGGTTTTGGATTCAAACATATTTTATATAAAGGGGTTTGTATATAACCCACATTCATTCAACTTTGTAGTTCTTGAATTATGAGCAAGTGCTTTCCCAGTAGTTACAAGAATGAAGAATTAACACAAGGCCTGTGCAAGTTTGTGCCATATTGCCTTGATACTTCTTGTCCTACCTGTCATTTAGCAAAACCAGAAGAGATGATCAAATACTCTGCCTGAGCAGAAACCTTTTCTGATTTTGGGAGGACCAGTTGGAGAAACTAAGCAGCATATCATCTGGCATTACTTGCCAGAGTTGGGTTTATGCTGTTGCAGGAGCTGTTCCAGATGATACGTCACGGCCCTTGCATGAACAAAGCAGTATGGCTGCTCTCCTCATAGAATGAGGGTGCCATGATACTTCTGTTTCAAACGAGTGCTTTGCTCAAACCTCTGTCAAAGCAAAGCTCCCCTTCAAGGGGTTGCAATATACCCTCTTGGCATTCCAGCTAACACGGATTGAGGTTGGGGCAGCTAGGGAGCAGTGTGGCTTATGGGATTCTCATGCATCCCTAACCCTGCCTTCGAACTCTATGTAGGTATGGCAGATACAGTGCACATGTAAAATTTAATTTTGGTTCACTGGCAAATCAGTACAGCCCAGGTTTTTCAAACCCCAAGAAGCTTGCGCCTTGAACGAATCCAATGTGGATGTTTCTTTTTTCAGGCACATTCTCATCTTTCTTTTAGCACAGAGTTCAGAAATTGTTATAATTGGAGTAGAGCAGGGGTATTTAGATCTGGCCTGTGGGGCCACTCTGGAAATAGCGAGGGACTGGCCCGTGGTGCTTCTGCTAGTGAAAACAGAGCTCCCTTTTTGCTGGCAGAGAGTTGCAGGAGGCTGTCCCAGCCGAAAACAGCCCCGGAGCCTGTTTTCGCTGGCAGAGCATGCGGACCACCACGGGTGCCCATGACACGAATGATGTCAAGCTAGCCATGCCTACCCTGGCCTTGCCCAACCCAGCCCCCTGAGGTCAAACACAACCCTGATCCGGCCCTCAATGAAATCGAGTTTGACACCCCTGGAGTAGAGTCTGTGAGCAATCCCGCCAGCCAGGACACCTACTCCTCCATTGAAAAATCCACCATCCCAAATAATATAAATGTATAATATAAATATGAGAAACATTTGGATTTTTGAATTGAAAAATATTTAGTGTTGGAAATATTACAGCTTTTATGTGTGTAGGTCCCTAAGACACTCAATTATTGGGAGATGCGTTGCTTTCTGAATGTAAATAATCATTTTGTTTATCCTCTAGAATTGAACAATACTATGATGCTATTATGGCTCTCTGGAATCAACTTTACATCAACATGAAGAGCTTGGTGTCTTGGCATTATTGTATGATTGATGTTGAGAAAATCAGAGCTATGACTATTGCCAAGGTAGGCATCATATATTATGGAGTTGTTGTTATGGTATACATATAGTTAACAATTTTGTTTCTGGACAGGGGATCCATCCATATGTATCTAGTTTTGAAAAATTGATGGTTGAAATTTCAGTTGTGCCATTGCTGAGTCTATGCAGATGTGTGCGTGTATGTGTGAATATACAGTTTGACAATGTGTTCAGCGTGATAGGCTAAGAAAAAATAATCAGTGCTTGATATTCTGATATTCAGTAGAGCTTGTATTCATTCCATACTTCTTTATCACTGGGCAATGTTTTTGAACAATGCAATAATCGAGTTTGTATGCAAATTCCTATTGCACTCAGGTAAGGCTGGAGTGCTTCTCATCAGCTCTCCACATTATCTTCACTCCTCGGCCAAGTTGCCTACCATTTTTAAAAGACACCAAGCAACGGGAACAGCCTGAGGGGTTGCGAAAGAAGGAAGATGGGCTGAATGAAACTAAAATTGAATTCTGCTCTGTTCGCATATATAAAGTGTAGGCCTAAGCCTTTGGCTTTTCAATGTGATAGAAGGAGTTTATGGAGTCTGATTCTGTGATGTCTACAGTAAAACCGGGTTTTAAAAAGCAGGACAGCTTTTGTGGCAGCATGATGGAAGCTCACTCCTTTTTATACATGCACCAATATTGCAGGGCTTCTGTTGCATTGCTGCGATTTCTTTTTGGCCTCCCCTGCAGTCCACGATGGTCTGATATATGGTGAAATTGCCAGTAAAAATAATTTCAACTAATTGAGTATATAAGCTTTTCCTAACCTGGTGACTGCTGGATGTAATTACAGATCTCATTATCCACAATCAGATTGCCCTCTGGCATAGAAGGCTTGGGACTACTGTATTGAAGAATCTGCTTCTATGCTTTGCAAAACCATTTTTCAATACTTTGAACTGACTTAATATATCACAAGACAAGCATTCCAGATTTTTAAAAGACTGCCTGCCTTTTCTCAGCCCTTGTCTGTATTGATAACATAGCTCTTAATTTTGCAAGCAGTCCTGTATCTACTGACACAAACTTTCTGTGTTCTCTTTATCTCCCCATTCTATAGCCTCTAGTTTAGACACTTCATACTAACGTAAACGTTCAAGCCATTTGTCATTTTTAGTCATCCCCCCCCTCCAGTCTTCACCTCCCCTGCTCTCCTGAATAATCTCCTCTTGTCTACAGGATTCAATTATAGCAATGCAGTAAGTAGAGATAATTTTGCCATCAACATGTTTGGGTTGCTTTTCCTGAAATTGTTTGTATTCATTTTCTGCAGCTGAAGACAATGCGCAAAGAAGATTATCAAAGAATAATTGCTGACTTGGAGATCCATTATCAAGAATTTATCAGGAACAGCCAAGGCTCAGAGATGTTTGGGGATGATGATAAGAGGAAGATGCAGACTCAGATCACGGATGCTCAGAAACATTACCAGACATTGGTCATCCAGCTTCCACGTCAAACACATACAGCAGCACCTCCCATAGGTTAGTGACCTAATAAATACTTGTAACTATCATAATATTTCATATCTGCTGGTTCTCACTAATCCAGCCACAGACCATCTGCTAGATGTGCATTTTCCCGAGGTTGCCTCTGTTTGGGGTTGAGAAATGTTGAGAAAGTCATTGAAAACTTTCCTCTTTTCACAGGCCCTGGGGGCAGAGTGGTGGTTTGGCCCCTTTATGTTATTTTGTTGTCATATAGTTTGCCTTTGGGACCCTTCTGATTTTTTTTAAAAAAAATGTTCTTATTTTTAAAGATAGGATGCCCAGAGTCATCTGAGGTTGAGTGACCTCTTCATTGTATTAAATAAGATTATGTACGCTTGCCAAATATTTGTTAGGCTGTAATGTATGATTGGAGAGCTGAATACAACTTGGAGTATCATAGCTTAGGCAGGTGTGGGCTTTACAAATAGGCCCCATGCAAAAAGCAAAAAGACTTGTCAGTAAAAGCATTTGCAATGATGGAATGCTGAAAACTATAGGAGAGAGATATATTCTATGTGGTGGCGTCTCACATCCGCCTAATGTTTACTCTTGCATTTTTGAGAACGGTAGAGAAGGACAAGGATATTCAGCATACCGTTCAAATTATACCTGATTGCCTTTCCAATCCATACTGCTAATGAAAATGTGACACTTGTCTTATTATTTCCAGTAACTGAAGTTATAACTATAGAAAGGGAAAAGCAGGAGGCCTGGCTGCTCATGGAATTGCAGAAACTTCGTCGCCAGATTGAAAACTGTGAGCTTAGGATGGTGCAGCGAACTCCTTTCCAGTTGGATCAAGGGGCCACTCATAATTTGTCTGTCCGAATCAGTGATTTAGAGGTACATGATTGCAATGAGTACATTTATTCATATCCCCTCTCCCTATACCCCATGTTACTGTTCTTTACATTTGACATATTCTTTGGGCCTACATTTTCAGTCTGATACTGCTGAAGTTAGTGGCATGGGATTGTGGGTAGTCCTCAAGTTATTACCATAATGGAGCCTTCCCATGACAGTCGTAAGTCATGATGGTGGTTAAGTGAGGTGATCCCGTGGGCCTTCCCTTACTCCTTCTCTCCTTGATGTAATTGTTAAGCGGAGCACTGGGTGCCTTGGGAGACCTAGTGCAGGCCCAGACCTGCCTTCCCAAGCCTTTCTCACCTCCCCCCCCCCCGCAAGGCACCCTGTGTGCTGCTTCCTGCTCCTTTGAATTCCTGCAGACATTTGAGTCTGCTCCCCTCCCCCCACCACCTGAAGCAGGCATTGGGGCTGCTTCCCATACCCTCCTCCCCAACTGATTGCACACTTACCTTTGGAAGATCCCTGGAGCTCCAGACTTCATGTTGGGAAGGGAGAGCAGGCCACTCTGCTCCTTGGCATCCCTTGGCTGTACTCTATCCTGAAAGTGGGCGCTATTTTTGGTATAATTGTGACACAATTCTATGTATATACATCAGTTACAGGGAGAAGCAGTGCTAGATGTTTGGTTTTGCATTGTGTGCGTGTCTGTATGTGCACATGTTCAAGTTAGTGTTGCTTCCTGGCACCTGCCTGGAGAAGTCCCTGAAGTAAAGGGCCCCAAATTTAGTTTCTTGCATTTCCAGTTAGAATCAAAGAGCGAGTTTCAGATTGTTTCTTTGAATACAAGAAATATGCGTACATGCAAATTATACTTGCTTTGTTTTTCAGAGTATACAAATTGAATCCCAGTCAATGGCAGAAGCTCTCAACAGGCAAAAAGATTACCTTCCAAATTTTAGAGGCTCTGAGAAGTATCACTATTTGCAGTCTGAAATCAGTGCTTTGTTTCAGAAATTGGAAAATATTAATGGGGTTTCTGCTTGCTACTTGGACAGGTAATAACAACGTAAAGGACTCCTGGTTAACTGTTTTCTAGAAACCTGCTTTGTTTTCAGCTGCTAATATTCTTATCTAACCAAGCATACATTTAAAGAGGATTGAAAGCCTTCATATATTCTATATTGATAATATTCTGTAGAAAAAGAGAAAGAACAAAGTATGTTTACCGTTGTCTGCACCAAGACAGATAGCTTATTAGGGAACTTGTATTATATCTGCCTACCACACAAGGTTCCACTGTGGCTAAAATAGGGAAGTGGAATACCATATAATTGGCTTATTAGTAAATAAATAACTTTTTGCAGTGAGGTGACCAGTGCTCTTTCAAAAATATGTCCATTTCTTGTACACATATGTGCATCAAATGGTTTTGCATACAGATTAAAGGACTTTGCCTTACCCTGCCTTACATCAGGATGGTTGTTTGCTCTTCCTTCTCCTTTCCAAATTTTTCAGAAGTTGAAGGCACACTATTTATTAACATAGAATAGAACAATACAGGCCAAAGGAGGAGAGCAGAATAATTATTCTGCAACATTTAGATACCAAGCATTTGTGTGAACATGAATGCCCACAAGCAAACAATGTTTAGCAGCACAAGAATACTTGAATTGGGGACAGGTGAAATAAACTTTTTCTAGTGGAGTCTTGCACTAAGGTGATACTAAATCTAGTAATACTAAATATTAGTAATGCTAAATACTGAATTAGCAATACCACAACCTTTTTTTAATACTTGATTTCTTTATGGCCCTGTACTTACAGCTTAAATGCCCTGCGATCACTGCTCCAGGCAATTCTCCAGACAGATGATGTGATTCGAGTATTTGAAATTAGGCTTACAGAAGAGGACACACTTTCCTTGGACCCAGATAAAGTAGAAGCCTACCGAGTTTGCCTAAAGGTGAGAAAATGGTTTGTCTTTCTTTTCTTAAAATGTGGGATTGGATTACAAATGGGTTACATGGAGCTATGAACTGAACCTTTTTTTTAAGTGAATATAGCCAAAGTAACCACTAACTTGCCAATGGGAGAAAACTACTACTGCCACTTATATAACTTTATGGTACTTTATATCCTACATACTTTATAACTTTACATGCTAAGTACACTTAGTGCAGTATAAGAAAGCTTACATTAAAAGAAAAAGAAATAGCAAAAGTTGGGGAAAGCAGTGTCCGATTTCAGACTTCCTTGTGAAATGAAGAATTAATAGCATACTAATTCTTTATTTCATGAGTAAGTCTAAACTTGGACATTGGTTTGCGCAACTTTTGCTCAGTTTTTTCTTTGCATCATTATCTGACTACTATAGCCATTTCCTTGAGAAATTGTGAGCACAGGTCATTCTGCTTATGGACATTGAATTGGGATTCTGTGGAATTCTGGCTTGTCCCTGATGTGAGCACAGCTAATTATAACTTAAGCGTTCAAGCTGCCTTCACATAATGAATGACTCCAATTAATTATGGTTGTTCAGTATACCATAGTTAAACCATAGCTTTATGTGGTATGTTGACCTCATAGAAAAGTCAAAATATTATTATCTGTAACATAATTAGACAGTATAATAAAAATACAGTCCATGGATAAGATTTAGTCTATATCTTTATAGTGCTTCCTCCAAATTACCAAATGCAGAAGCTTAAATCAGATGCAATGTTTGCTGCCAATCTTTAAGTTGGTCAGTATTTTTTTAAAAAAATATTTGTTGATATTTATGGTGGAGATGCTTAAAAAATTATCTTTTTACTTTTGCCTGTATTTTTGCAGAAAATGAAAGCAGACCTTAGTATGAAGAAGTCATTGCTTGGTACTTTGGAAGCCGAGCTGCAGAAGGCTCTCCAGGTTCACTCCCAGTCTTCTCAAACATACCCTCACTATGACTTAGATCTTGGAAAATTTGCTGATAGAGTCTGCCAACTAACAGATCGTTGGCAAAGGCTGGAAAAACAGCTGGATGACAGGTTTGTTTTTTGAAGCAGTGTGTTTGTTTTTTTTCATAATGGCATCATTGCTTTGCGGTGAATTTTACATTCACTGTAAGTACAACACTGCAAGTCCTAGTAAAAGAACTTTCTTTTCAATTAGATTGTGCTATTTCTTGCAAACAGGTTTTCTGGAAAAGTTATTTTTAGGCTACTTTAAATATAAACCTCTAGCCTAAACTTGATCCTGAGAGATTTGTATATAATCCTTTCTAGCTGATAGAGGTAGAAATAACGATTGTCATCATATTTGTAGAATATGCACTTCCAGTTGTATTTTACAAATGATAGTTGCATTTATGGAGCTATATTAAACTTAAAAATACTATTGTGTATATTGTTGCAGGCCTCATTACATATTTTTTTGGAAAACATATTGCTATATAATTGCATTCTTTGCAATCGTGGCTTAACTGAGATTAATCGGCATTACAAGATAATCAAAGGCTGTGAATTTAGAGTGCTACAAAAATTAAATTGGATATTCTAATAATTATCTTAGAGAAGGGACTATGATTCAATGGTAGAAAATGTTTTGTTTTTATTGTGTTTTATGTATAAGACCATAGAGATAATCACTGGCATCGTCAATACCAATGTGGCTCTTGGGTAGCAGAACTGCTAGAAACTAATAGAAGGGATCTTTGCTTCATTTCTTGCATTGATATTTGCATAGAAATCAGCATCAATCGCCTTCAGTAGATCAATCTATATTTGTTTCTTTTTTTTCCCCAGATCGTGGGATTTAGAAAAACAGGTGAAGCAGCTGAGAACCTATCGGGATCTTTACCAGGCTTTGAATAAATGGATCTGTGATGCCAGGCGCCGACAGGACACCATTGAAGCCATGAAATTAGGAGATGTTAGCACTGTCATGAGATACCTGCAGGAGCAAAAGGTATTGTTTTGCTTTAAATACACCAAACTTATCTTCAGAACTATCATGGAATGAATTTGTAATTCATCCTAATGTGTATTGGTATGTTAGTAAGAGCTCATAATATCTTAAAATCAGACTTTAATCCAGTTAAATTTATGCCAAAATTTTCTCTTAACCTGGGCTTCTTTTGTTTCTTTTGTTATTGGACTATACTTCCGGAGGCAGCCAGTTACAATAAGCTATTCTAAACATTCTCACTATCACTGTATCATTGAGGATCCAGTTATATAAATGGACAGATGCCTGCCTACTCTTTAGAATTCTAAGAATTTGATTAAAATTCATTCATTTCTCTTCTTGCCAGAACTTACATAGTGAAATTACAAGCAAGCGCGACAGAGTAGAAGAAGTGATCAAGAATGCAGAAGTGTGCTCACTTGCAATCAAGGTAAATATATTCTAACTGTTCTTCTCAGGATATGTTTTTGCAACAAATTAGTACACATTGTGAAATTCATAAATCTCTGTAATAATAAATAAAATGAGCAAAAGCGCAGACTTCTCTTTGACCTCCTATCTCTGCCTCTGCTCCAAATCTGCTTCAGCGTTAGTAGAATGGCATTCTCCCATTTCTACTACAATCAGATCTTATTTCATCACCAGACAGACACCATTATCTCCATCTTTAATCTGGTAATAACTACTTACTAGAAATAAAGCTAAGTTCAATTTCAATGGGCTATCTAAATAAATGGTTACATGTCATTTTGCGCTATTGTATGATTCTACATTGGCTTGTTTCTGTTTAAAGACGGCAAACCAGTTTTAAACAAAATTTGATTTACATAACATGATTCATGAATGGTCATGCATTATTTGTTTTGGGATTTCTTCATTTATTTGTACTTCACTTTTGTGTTTTGTCTAAGCCTCTAATCAACTTATGCAGGATCAGTGCATGAGCAGTAAAACAAAAACTCATAAAAACAAAAGAAACAAATAGGAAGGATACACAATTACTTTTCTGGTCTTCAAGACTGAGTCTAACTGTGTTGACTTGTTTGAAAACAGTGGTTGACGCAAAACATGGTTTAGGCACAATAGGATTGACTCAGTTACACTGAGACTTAAGTAAGTCTCCATGTAGCCAAGTAAGATATCAGTCAAATCAGTCAGCCCTGTCTGCTGCTTCGTGCTTTTCTGGTATATTTTAGAAAAGGTAATGGGAGACTGAAAACTTCCTTTTTAATTCCTTTTGACACGATTGTAAGATCAAACTATTTCAGAAGCACTTTCATAAAACAGTTTGACTGTTTAAACACATATAAATGAATGACCGGTGTGTATCAAACTATTTCTACTTGGGTAATGCCATATATTGTTGATTTAAAGAACAATCCTTATTTTGGTTAATTTCTTCCAGCTTCAACCCCCTTCTGCTTCACTGTATTGCATTTTTCCACAGGCTTTGAAATATATTGCTTTTAAAAAAATAATAATACTGAAATTCGCAGTAGGAAATACTGTACACCAATACAAATGCTTTGTGCTTACAGGATTATGAACTCCAGGCTGCAGCTTATAGTTCAGGACTAGAAACTTTATTGAACATTCCTGTCAAGAGGAGCATGGTCCAGTCTCCTTCAGGCCTCATTTTACAAGAGGTACATGTCCCTCATGCCAAGTTATTTGCAATTTCAGCAATGTGATATGGGAGTTGTGGGAGACACCAGTTTGGGAGATATGCTGTACAGGGTCATTACTTTCCCATAATAATTGTCCCTAATTTAGGACAATTATTATGCAAGTTTAAGATTAGGCAATTTTGTTTTATGAGAAACAAAAATCTGTTCAAATAAGCTAAAACAATATTTGGGATGGGATGTCAATATACTTTTCTGTCTTTTTCCATTCTTATTCAGGCTGGCGACATTCAATCCCGATACATCGAGCTCCTTACAAGATCAGGAGATTATTACAAGTTCTTGAGTGAAATGTTAAAAAACTTGGAAGATATAAAGGTAATTTATCTTTGGTCATAGACCTTTTGTGAATTTTACAGTATCTCAAAATATTAAATGCTTCAAAGTAAGCTTTAGATTAAAAAGTAATGCCTTGATGTGATGATTAAAAAAAACTTCCTAGCACTCTTAGAATGTTATTTTTTTTTTATTTTTGTTGCTATTATAGTTAATATTGCATATTCACATTGGAGATATAACCTAGTCAAATTGTGGAATCATATGATAAAGATTTTTCTGTGTAAGATCCACTTTCCATGATCTGACAGCGTACACGTGGTGTAACCACAATCCTGATATTGTGTGAATTGTATCCCATAAGATACCAGTTTGTGGAAAAATAAAACTAGTTCACTTATAGATTTTTTTGTGTGCAAATGCAGTTTTCATAAAACAATACTCACCCTGAAAACAATAAAAGATTAGCATATTAAGAATACAGAGGAATTTCCCCCAAATAATTTTATATTATATATTATTAATAATGTTATACGTGTAACTTTTTGCTCCCTATTTTGCAACATTGTGCATTGTTTTGCATGAGTTTGATCAAATTGTCTCTTGATTCTGCAGATGAAAAGCACCAGAATAGAACTACTGGAAGAAGAATTGAGATTGGCCAAAGATGCTAATTCTGATAGCAACAATAAGCACAAGTTCCTGGAACAAAACATGCAGAAGTATCAGGTGGAATGTTCTCAGCTGAAAGCAAAATTCATAAGTTTGGAAGAAATGAAGAGACAAGTTGAGATGGATGGCTGTACAGCCAAGCAAAACCTAGACAAATGCTACGCGCAAATAAAAGATCTGAATGAGAGGATAACAAGGTTGACTTATGAGATTGAAGATGAGAAGAGAAAAAGGAAGCTGTTGGAAGACAGATACGACCAGCAGAAGTCAGAGTTTGAGCAGTTGCAGAAGACAAGGCAGAATGAAAAAGAAAGCCTTGGTTGGCAAAAGATAGAATCAGAGAAAATCATCAAAGAGAAGGAGTATGAGATAGAAAGGTTAAGGGTTCTTCTCCAGGACGAGGGGACACGGAAGAGGGAATGTGAGAATGAGCTGGCTAAGGTAAGAAACCAGTTTAATGAGGAGATGAGTAATATAAAGAACAAGTATGAAACAGAGATTAATATTAAGAAGACCACCATTCATCAGATAGCTGCACAGAAAGAGGATGATGCCAAGAACCTCCGCACTCAGATTGATCGATTACAGAGAGAGAATAGAGATCTGAAGGATGAGATCATCAGGCTCAATGAGACCATATTGGACACAACTGAGCAGCGAAGAAGGGCAGAAGAAAATGTCCTTCAACAGAAGGCTTGTGGCTCAGAGGTGATGCAGCAGAAACAACAGATAGAGTTGGAACTGAAACAGATCATCCAGCTGCGTAACGACGACAACACAAGATACAAGCAGGCCCTTGAAGATGCAACTTTGACCATCCATGAAAAAGTCAAAGAGCTTGAAAGGTTAAAGATTCAACTGCAAGAAGAGGCTAAAAGCCGATGGGAACTTGAAAATGAGCTGGCTAAGGTAAGGAACAGTTATGATGAGGAAATTATTAGTTTAAAGAACAAGTATGAAACTGAGATTAATATCACAAAGACCACAATAAATCAGGTGACTGTGAAAAAAGAAGAGGAAGCCAGTAATTATAGAGCCCAGTTGGACAATGCTGTAAGAGAAAATAGGAGCTTGTGTGAGGAAATTAGGAGACTGAAGAACTCGCTAAGTCAGACAACAGAGAACCTTAGAAAAGTAGAAGAAAATGCTCACCAGCAAAAAGCCATTGGCTCAGAGATCTCACAAAAGAAACAACATCTTGAAAAAGAGTTAAAACAGACTGTTCAGAAATTCACAGAAGAGATTGCCCATTACAAACAGTCCCTCGATGAAGCAGGAAGAACACTTAAGGAGAAAAATAAAGAGATTGAAAAAAACAGAAAATTGTTAGATGCAGAAATAAGCCAAAGGAAATCTGTGGAGGAAGAAAATATTCGCTTGCAAAGGGTCCAGTATGACCTAGAGAAAGCTAACATCAACGCAACAGAAACAATTAGCAGATTAAAAGTTCAAGAACAGGAGTTGGGACGCCTCAAAAGTGAATATGAAAGACTCGCACAAGACAAGAAAGGGAAAGATCAAGAGAGTACAAGGCTCCAGTGCACAATCAAAGAATTGCAGCATCAAAAACACATGCTGGAGGAGGAACTTAATAGGCAGTCTAGAATTGCGTCTGATGAGACTTCCAAAAGGAAAAATGCAGAAGAAGAATTGGAAGCTATGAGGAGAACTTTGAGGGATCAAGCTGTTAAAATCACTAATCTCACTCAGCAGATAGAAGAGGTTTCTATTGTAAAGAAACGGAATGAAGATGATTTGAGGCACCAGAGGGAGGTGCTAGATAACCACATGAGAGATAAGCAGCGGTACATGGAGGAGATAAGAAAATACACTTCTGAGATTGAAGCCTTGCGTCGCCAGATGGTTCAAGAGCAGGAGAATTTAAAACAGGCCCATATTCGCAATGAGCACTTGCAGAAGGCTATTGAAGATAAGAGCAAAAGCCTCAATGAGTGCAAGATAGAAATTGAAAGGCTTCAGTGTCTTACTGAGAATCTGACAAAAGAACACTTGATGCTCGAGGAAGAGTTGCGAAATTTAAGGTTGGAGTATGATGATCTAAGAAGGGGCAGGAGTGAAGTTGATGAGGAAAAAAATGCCACAATTCTTGACCTAAGGAATCAACTGCAAACAAGCAACAAGCATTCCCTGGAACTTCAGGGTGTGATAAATGGTTTACAGAAAGAAAGGGAAAATTTGAGACAGGAAATTGAAAAATTCCAAAAGCAGTCTCTGGAGGTATTCACAAATATTTGATCACACCTTTATTCACCTTCAGATTCTATAATTTTAACACCCAGTGCATTTTCAACCAGTGAATACTGAATGTGTGTGCATCTTAATTTTGACCAGTCTCTCCTCCCCACTGCTCTTTTATTTGGATTTAGGAGCAGATTAAAGTCCCTTCTGGGAATAATTTCAAATGAGATATAAAACATAATTAGATGGCAGTGCATTCCTCAATTTAAAGGAAATTCTTCCTTTCCCTATTTGATATTCTGAAGGAAAGCTGGAGGATCTGCCATACTTCAGTTAATCCACTTGGTCCTATTTCCCAGACTACTGACTTTGGTAGACCATGTCTACATTTATACTGATTTTTTTTTGTAGTTCTGTTTTAAAAAAATCTTTGGACTTGATATAAAATATCCTAAAGGTTCCTCTGTTGAACAAACTGTGCATTTAAAAGTTGTTGCAACAGAGTGTATGTGCAGTTTATTTGTTTTGTCATTTCATTCCCCAAATGCAAATTTATTTATCTCCATAGATTCTTCGATCTTACTTTCTTTGAGCTGCTTGGCATGTTGAGATGCACAATATATAACTCATGCAGTTACATATTGAAGTGTGACCTGAACTGCTTTGCTTTTCTCTTCTTTACAAGAGCTTGTGTGTGTCTAGGCTAATGTAATACATAAATTATATGCACATGTTCACATATGCACATGCTTATTTTAAGAACTCTACAATCTAGAGCTAACATTGCTTATTATTTCTCTTATCTGTTGTCCTGCTAATGTATATATGCCTCTGTTTAAAAACATATATACATGTTTGTGAACATGAACATATATTAATGTTATATATAGGTTACTATACATATTATTTATTTTAAATAGGCAGAATAAAATCCAGCATAGACATACATACCTAAATGTGCCTCATGTTGCATTGTGGTCTATAGCCTTTTCCAATTAGGTCTTAATTTTTAAATCAGATCAGACATTCCCCAATTACCTTTTTCCACTATCGTTCTATCTATCAATGTTTCTGAAACATTGATGCAACACTGCAATTTATGCCCATATACTGATTATTAGGAGCAATCGTCCATGCATCATTAAAATGTAAGTTTTATTTGTTTGAAGAAATTTTGAAAAGAATTGGAAAAAGCTCATAAATAATATTTGAACTATGATATTTAACTACAAAGCAATGGGGGCAATCTATATTTACAAAGTGTATCCATTGTATACATTCTTGCAGTCACTCATATTAATGTAGGCAAATGACAAATATATTCTGTGAGTAAACTTATTAGAATAAGTAAACTTACTAAACACACCTGAGTCATATTCATAAAATGCCCTTTCCCTGAAATTGACTGGAATATTCTTATATTAACAGTTCTTTATAAAGAAAATTCAGCTGACTATTTGAAATATTTTATTAAAATTCAATAATTTTCTTCTCTTTCAACAACTCTAATTTTATCAAAGAAAAAAAAGTAACCCAGCCACTGCTAAACCACTAAATCAAGACATTGCATTTTAAATTTTACATTGTAAGAGGTTAAAAAGAAAGCGCTAAATGCCAAGAGAATGTTCTGTATTCCAAATTAAGACTTTTTATTCTTAAAATGAGTTTAAGAGATTGACAATTCTCTCCTAAAGATGTTTATTCAGAACAATACTACTGATTGGACTAAGCCTTTTTAAAAAAGTAATAGTAGGGAAGTTCAGCTGCAAACGTATATGCTGTTACTTGTTAGTAAGTCTCATTAACTTAAGGATACAAACTTCTGCACAACTTTGTACAGAAATGAGATTTAATATTCTTATTTATAACAAGACTGTACCCAATCCATTTTATTTGAAAAAAAAAGAAAGAAACATTTCTATTAGTAAGCCAACCCATAGTAAAACAGACACAAACCTGTGAAAAATACAGTGTTACATTACTCAGGACAGCACTTATCCACAACTCTTAAGGTAGTGGTTAAACTAAAGAGAATAAATAATAAATACTGGATGTTATCACAACCATTCATTTTGTTCCTATTTCTTTTTCTTTTTTAAGGCAACCCACATGATTCAAGAATCCAAAAGCCAGTGTAATCATATCAAGCAAGAACGAGAAACCTTGCTGGTGAAAATAAAAACCCTGGAACAAGACAAGGCAAGATTGCTTAGACTAGAGGAAGATCTGAATCGTACCAAAGGCATGTTGGAATCCGAGTCTCGCTTGAAAGTACGGCTGGAAAATGAGAAGCAGCAGATATTGAATGACTTAAATCAGTGGAAAAGCCAATATTCCCGGAAGGAAGAGACCATCAGAAAAACTGAATGTGAACGAGACAAGAGCGAGAGGGAGAAAAGTGCCATGTTGATAGAAATTGAAAGGCTGCAGGCAGAGATCAAAAGGATCGAAGAAAGGTATCGATGCCGTTTAGAAGAGACAAGCAGGAAAAGCCAGGCAGAGATGGATGCAGAGAGGTTGAATTGGCGGAAGGAAATTGAGAAATTAAAGCAGCGTCCATATGGGGCAAATAGAAGTACCCAGACAGACGAAGACTTGATGATTGATCCTTCTAAATTGCTTTTCAGTGGTTTGCGGAAAAAAATCACAGCAGTACAGCTGTATGAGTGTCAGCTGATAGATAAATGCACCCTGGATAAGTTGTTGAGAGGACAGAAGTCAGTGGAGGAAGTTGCTGCTGAACTTGAACCTTACCTTAGAGGAGCTGGGGCTATAGCGGGTGCTTCTCTTAACACCAAAGAGAAGTATTCTCTGGTGGAGGCCAAACGTAAACAGCTTCTTACTCCAGAGAATACAATCCTGCTTTTGGAGGCCCAGGCAGCCACCGGAGGGGTGATTGATCCCCATCGGAATGAATCATTGAGTGTGGACAGTGCTATTGCTAGAGACCTGATTGATTTTGATGACAGAGAACAAATCTACATGGCCGAAAAGGCAATCACCGGGTTTAAAGATCCCTTCTCAGGAAAAACAATGTCTGTTGCAGAAGCCATGAAGAAAAATTTGGTTGACAGAGAGACTGGGATGCGTCTACTTGAAGCCCAGCTAGCTTCAGGGGGAATTGTTGACCCAATCAATAGTGTCTTCTTGCCAAAGGACATTGCTTTATCCCGTGGGCTGATTGATCGAGATTTGTATAGAGCTTTGAATAATCCATCAAAGCCCTTAATTGATCCTCTTAGTAAGAATGCCATAAGTTACATGAAGCTCCGAGAAAGATGTAGAATTGAATCACACACAGGTTTACTTCTCCTTCCTGTGCAAAAGAGAAGCATGTCTTTCCAAGGAATCAGAAAGCTTATCACCGTTTCTGAATTGGTTGATTCTGGCATCATTCGGGAGTCAACAGCAAATGAACTGGAAACTGGAGTAATTTCTGTTGAAGAAGTCACTGATCGAATCAAAGATTTCCTGCAGGGTTCCAGTTGCATAGCTGGTATTTATAATGAGGCTACTGGAGAAAAGCTTGGTATTTACCAGGCCATGAAAATAGGCTTGGTAAGACCAGGGACGGCTCTTGAGCTTTTGGAAGCTCAGGCAGCTACTGGATTCATTGTGGACCCCGTTAATAATTTAAGGCTTCCTGTGGAAGAAGCTTACAAGAGAGGGCTTGTTGGAATAGAATTTAAAGAAAAACTTCTGTCTGCTGAAAGAGCAGTCACTGGGTACAAAGATCCAGAAACGGGAAATATCATCTCCTTGTTCCAAGCGATGAACAAGGAACTCATTGAGAAAGGCCACGGAGTTCGTTTGCTGGAGGCCCAGATTGCCACTGGTGGAATCATTGATCCTAAGGAAAGCCATCGTTTGCCAGTGCACACAGCATATCAACGAGGCTACTTTAATGAAGAACTGAATGATATTCTGTCTGATCCTAGTGATGATACCAAGGGATTTTTTGATCCCAATACAGAAGAAAATTTGACCTACTTGCAGTTGAAGGGAAGATGTAAAATAGATGAATTAACTGGGCTCTGTCTATTACCACTGAGAGAGAAGAAGAAGGTGGTGCAGACTTCTCAGAAAAACACACTTCGGAAACGTAGGGTTGTCATTGTAGATCCTGACACAAACAAAGAAATGTCAGTTCAGGAGGCCTATAATAAAGGTCTCATAGATTATAGTACTTACATGGAGCTTTCAGACCAGGAATGTGAATGGGAAGAAATAACTACTACCGGATCAGATGGGAGCACAAGAGTTGTGCTTGTAGATAGGAAAACAGGCCACCAATATGACATTGAAGATGCCATTGATAAAGGTCTAGTTGATAGAAAATTTTTTGATCAGTACCGTTCTGGATCTTTAAGCCTCACACAGTTTGCAGACATGATTGCTAGTAGAAATGGAGGTGACGAAGTCTTCAAACATGAATCCGTTATTCGGTCTCCTACTGTATTGAGTGTCAAGAGTTCTTCCATTTTGCTAAAAAGCAGTTCTGGTTCCTTTTCTGATTCTCCAGAAGAAGCCACTCCCATTGCAGCCATATTTGACACGGAAAATTTGGAAAAGATCTCAATTCCAGAAGCTGTACAACGGGGGATTGTTGATACCATCACCGCCCAACGTTTGCTTGAAGCCCAGGCTTGTACAGGAGGTATTATATGCCCTACCACAGGCCAGCGTCTTTCTCTTCAGGATGCAGTTGCCCAGGGCATCATTGACCATGAGATGGCTACACGTCTGAAGCCATCTCAGAAAGCCTTCCTTGGCTTTGAAGGTATTAAGGGGAGAAAGAGAATGTCGGCAGCAGAGGCAGTGAAGGAGAAGTGGTTGCCTTACGAGGCTGGTCAACGCTTCCTTGAGTTCCAGTTCATCACGGGGGGCCTTGTTGACCCTGAAGTACATGGGAGAATAAGTATAGAAGAAGCTATTAGGAAAGGATTGATTGATGGCCGGACTTCCCAAAGGTTGCAAGACATAGGCAGCTATGCAAAAATTTTGACCTGCCCCAAAACAAAGCTGAAGATCTCCTACAGAGAGGCAATGAATCGCTCAATGGTAGAAGACCAAACTGGGCTCAGGTTACTTGAAGCATCTTCTGTTTCATCCAAAGGCATATCCAGCCCATATAATGTCTCTTCAGCACCAGGATCACGTTCAGGATCACGCTCAGGATCACGCTCAGGATCACGCAGTGGATCAAGAAGAGGAAGTTTTGATGCCGGCACAAATTCTTCATATTCTTATTCCTACACAACTGTCAGCAGCAGCAGTCTTGGGCGCTAGACATTAATCAGTGTATCTAATTTTTGTTCTATATGTCTGCTTGTTTAAACAAAAGAAAACAAAAAGATCAAACCTACATATACACATGGGCTGGTGGTAATACTGGTACGGTAGTTGCTTGGGTGAAATAGCTAAGCTACAGCATAGAAATGTAAACCCAAATACAAGCTGAAAAAAATGCTTTCTGGAAGGAGGGGATGCTGTATTTTTCCTTTTTTAAAACAAAAACAAAAACCAAACGTCTAATTTGGCTTATGAGTGTGGTTTGTAAGAAAGCAACACCTGCCTCTGAAAACAGATGTTGCATTTTGTCTCTTGTTTTATTACTCATGTACCCTGCAGAATATTAGCCTAGCATCCATGTTTTTGTATCATTTGTCAGGTTTTTTTAAAGCCACTTTTCCTTTCTGGCAGTAAATGTTTCACCACATAATGATAATAGCCTCCAACTGATGTTATGCTTTATTAGATTGAGCTACTTTCTCAGTCATTTCAGGTTTATTTGGAGTCAGCAATGGTTTTCTCTTTTGTGTGGCTTGTTTTCCATGTAACACCATAGAGGCCTGACTATATGAACTTAATTATTCTTGCAATAAAAGTGTAACCATTTTTAACTCATTTGTATGAACATGTTTACTTTTGGTATGGGTCATCTTCTTGGACTATTTGACTATGCTGCATACTAAATATTTTGTACTGGAGATTTCTTTGGTCCTGGACTGAAAACTTGTGACTAGGGTTAATAGAGACCCAAATATATTTGTTTGGGGGAATAGATATACATCCCTATTTTCTGCTTCACTGAGTACAAAAACCTGTCAGCCTTGGGAACTACCCTTGACATCCTATGCACAGTTCACTATTAGTGATCCAGCACACGGATATGCCAGCTGCCCTGATAGCTGAAACCTAGAGAAAATGTTGCCTTACATTTGTAATGAAGAACAAGTTAAAGAAAGTGACATATGACTTTCCTTGGCTTGATTTCTCCTCCCTCCAAACGTAATGGTTGGTAGAAAAAATAACCACTATTTGCTCTTCTTAACATATGAGGCAAACCTCTGGTGTAGGCAAGAAGTCCTTTGACATGGGTAGGCAGGTGGAATACCCATATGTCAAATTACCTGATAGATGCAGACGATCAAAGCACGACTGAGCAACTGATAATGAGCTTCAACTACTACGTCTTCAACTACTACAAGGAAATGTCAGTGTTATTAGGAAACATTGTGACTAGTAGGACCTGGAAGTAGCCCATTCCAGATAGTAGCCCATTCCAGATAGTGGCATAGCAGGCAGAAACGTGCTACTTGCTCACCTCCACCAAAATAAGAACAGCTGTGAGAAATCCCTTGTCAGCAGAATGATGACTAATTCAGTAACATCTACTTGCCAGAATCTGACTTTCTTGGCTTAAACTGATCTGTGTACCACCTGTTTTTATAAAGAGCCCAGAAAACAAATGCTTTATACCAGATGTTATGTGGACAGAATATTCTGCAGAAGCCAGATTTCTATTTTCTCCTACTGTCCATGCAGCAATGGACAATGAGGGGTGCTGAACGACCAGAAGGCTGGGGACCTGCAGCTGTAGAGCGGGCAAAAGGAGTGTTAGCATCCCAGCAATATTATACTTTGGTGAAATACATACATCAACTAGGAGGAAGGTGAGGATGGGTTCCTATTTCCAACATTTTTGAATGTGCAATAATGAAGATGTATAAAATACTAAAAAACCCCACCATGCAGTCTAACCTAACAGGTTAGGGTAATATAATGAGTCATAATGAGTCGTCTAAACCCCATTTTAATGTTTATATGCTCCTAAACTACATACAAACTTTGCCTGAGAACAAACCCAACTCAAACCACAAGAAAACACACATCGATGGCCTCAACCATCTCTGGGCCCAATGCCTGAGGGAACATAAAGGTTTCAAATACTTTCATTGTGGAGTCATGACAATTATAAGGACATCGTATTCCAGAAGGTATGCTTCATGTCAGACCAAGAATGGTTCTTGGGTTTTACCAAATGGTGCTGTTTAATAGCATGCCCAGTTGCCTACCCGTATGGGACTGGGCAGAAGCAATTTGAGAGGCAATCTCATCTGCCCTTGCTGTGAAAGGGTTTAGAGATGGTAGCTAGCACCTTGACAGTAACGCACACCTGGAAGCCCGTTGGAAGACAATACAGCTTATGAAGCAGTGGTGTGACATGGGTATATTGAAGTGCACACTTAATTGCTTGTGCAGAACATTCTGGATCAATTGCATCATTTGGATAATCTTCAAGGGCAGACTCCTGTAGAGCACGAGGCACTAATCCATTGGGAAGGTGATCAAAGCATGAATTATGATGTCTGGTTCAGGAAAGAACAATTGGCATGCAAGATGGATTAGTGGAAAGACCATGGTCCTGGCTGCCACCTGTTCTTCAAAAGGAGATAAGAGTTCAGAAGACGACTACGTACGCAATGATTCTGTCTGGGGCAATGCTACCCAATAGAAAGAAAAATATGATCAGCAGGCCCCTAAAATCCAAAGCCCCTCAGTCTAGGGTCAAACTGAAATCTGTTCTCAACCTGACAACCGTAGCCTTTAGCACTAGGGAAGAATCCCATTAGCATCACTTGGTTAGCGTGGGATAGATAAGCATATGTTTACCATGCTTTAAGCATAGAGTGCATTTTTTTTTGTTAATTTTGTGATATATATGAAGAGGTAGAGAGCGATTGGTACCATCAGGTGATGAGAATTAGTTATGAAGAATGTACTAAACCGCTTAGGAATATCTGAACATTTTGATTCTTAAACATTTTTCAGAAATATTTTTACCTTAAATACCTTAAAATGCCCAAGTATTCTCAAATTATTATGGACATTTATTTTAAATTCTGATCACAACTTTGTAATTAACTGCATTTATATCAGCTGATAGACTTTTAAAGATCTGTATTGTCTGCTCTATTTGGCACTGAAGTTCCATACAATAAACCAGTCCTAAAAAAGAATTAACCTTTTATGAGTAGGCATCATAAAAACATTTTAGGGCTGGATTAGTATGTCAGAATAAATTTATGCTTTCCTTCAAAAAGATCACTTTTAAAAAAAAACAATTTCATATTTGTAATTGTGCCACCCAAGTCACACACATTTCTTTTTGAGTTGGGTGTCCATATAAATCCACTAAATAAATACATTTGCAATTAAAGCATATTCGGTTTTCATTGTTTTCCAAGCCAGGAAAAATGAAACATCATTGAAAGGGAGAGAACAGAAGAATTTTTATCACTAGTGATAACTTGGAAATGCCTTATGCTTATATGTTTTAGGCTGTATCTTGTCAAACAGGCAGAATTTTATTTTGGTCATTGACCAATAAAAATACGATAAAGGAAATACTAAGTTATTTTATATTCTTCAAATGGAATTCGATAACATGGTATAAATTCTAAAGCCAATTCATACATACACAGAAACTTCAATATATAAAAATACGTATATATTCATAAAGTTTGATTGGAAGCTGGACAGGTATTAATAGTGTCTGTCTATATTCAGCTTCTATATTAGCTTGATTCATATTCCAGCATCTCATCACAAATCCTTCCTTTTCTGTTTTCTGGCATATCTGGATAGCTTTGCTGACTATTTGCTTTACTTCAGAAATAATATTTGATGAGACTGCAGATGATGATGCTACTTGGACTATGCACGATGTGCATTTAAATAGCCCTCATCTTATTTTGTATGGATCAGAAAAAGAAGCCAAGTTAGGGGTAGATCCAGGTGGCTGGTTTACGAAACAAGCTCTTTGACCTGCTACAAGTCCAAATAGTTTCAAGAAGCAAATCGATACCTTGGGGAGTCAACTACTTACACCCGCATTTATGCAAGTTAATTATTAGTCATATCAAGTTGTAGAAAGCAAACATCGAAACTAAAATTTAATAATTTATTACGTGGCGATAAAAATTTTCGCAACAGCCACAGAAAGTCCCAGTTCCCTCGGCATACTGAAGGGGGAGTCCGCACTCCGCGGGAGGGCTCGCCGTCCGCTTCCGTCAACAAGAGCGCATTCAGCCTGGCGCAGGCGCAATAGGAATAGTAGGCGCGGCTGAATTCTCTCTCGGAATCCTGTTGATGAATTTCCAAAACTGGGTACCAGAAAATTTCAGGTAGGCGCTGCCGAGGGCATTGCGTCGTCGGAGCTAAGAGTTCCCATGCATCTTTTGTAAATAACGTCAGCATCAGGTGAGAGGAGTCTTGCTTGCCTGGCGTGTTTTTTTTTGTTTTTTTTTTTTGAGAAGCGCTCCTCGCATTTCTGTTTGCTCCGGACACCCCGCTGGTCTGGGTAGAGATGCTTTTTTAAAATTTATTTTATTTCGTTTGTCAATTGCTTACAAGATAATAAGTATAAGTAAAAACGTAGCTATGAATACATGGATACATATAAGAAAAATAAAAGAAACAATAGGACAGGGACGGTAGGCACGTTGGTGCGCTTATGCACGCCCCCTACAGACCTCTTAGGAAAGGGGTGAGGTCAATAGTAGTTGTATTGCCGAATGTGTGTGCAAACTGAGCCACGTGGCATTGTTTTTTGTTTTTTTTGTTTTGTTTTTGCCTTACTGTAAGATTTCAGGGAATAAATGTGTCAGTGCAATTGCTGGATTTGGACAGATTGAGTATGGACGTTTGTTTTTTGCAAATTCATAGTGACATCGTCAGGCCAAACGTCCATGATTGCAAAAAGGAAGAAAAGGGACTTTAAGAAATCGGACCCGCCTAGCCCTAGAACACTTTCAGAGTCACACCACACCGCATCACACTTTGTGGAGAGTTGTCTAATTGCCTAAGTGAATTGCTAAAGAAGCTAGAAGAAGCTCCAGGCACTCACTTTGTGCTCCTGTAAAAGCACAAAGGTAATAACGTTTTACTGCTGGAAAAACTTGGGTGCTTTCCCTTCTGGGACAAACAGTAAAAACATTAAAAAGCACTGCTGACATGTTGGATCTGGGTTTTGCAATGTGCTTTGCAACAAATGTTTACTGCTGTGGTTAAACTTGCCCATTTTCTTCTGTAGTGGCTCTTGTGTCTTTGAACCAGTGGCAAACAAACAAACAACAAATGCAAATCTTCTGTTTCTGACACAATGGCTGAAAATATTTTAGAGTTGACACTAAGGCCCAGTTAAGAAAACAAAATGATCAG